ACAGCATACCTTCTTCAGTTGTACGAACCCCTAGACGACCTTAGAACTGTCGTCGAAGAATAACAAACGTCTCCGGTTACTAAGCGGAGTAGGTGGAAATCATTCTGTGACACTAGTAGACATAAAAATTAGTACTACTTGAAAAATAAAAATACTGTTTACTCTTACAAGTAAGTCTCCCACGGACACATCACGGTGGTTGTGATAGATTCAAGGCTGAGTGAACTTCGCCAGCGAATGTTGCTGGGCACCAAACGTCCTTGCATTACTCATAATTCAAAATTACTCATGTTAGATGTTCAATATCCAATTGTTTACTATCTGTGTACATGAATCATGAACGACAAACTAGCTCTGCTCTTAGTCGACACACCTGGGATCCATATCAATGATTCCAATTCGCTTTGCAAAACGGATTTACTCTGTATATGTAAGCTGGAACGTACCACAAACGAAGTGTCATAGACGGTGAACGCTACCGTCTTCTCGCCCCAGGGACCAAGTATAATTTTACTCCATAGCAAAGAAACTGGACCCAGTTAGTTATCTCACAGTCTGAGGATTAAGCCACATCTACCTCGGCGCTGTTTCCGGCTCACTGTCATGGTAATCATAAGCCTTTCATAATCCATTTGAGAAATGTTTTTGTGAATGCCTAACGTATATTGTAATAGGCTCCAGTCAGCGACCCAGCTATTTCACACAAGCAGGGTACTTCGTCTTTACAAAGTCTCCTGTCTACATTTCTAAGTTCGTTACTTCTTTACTATCTCGAATAATTGCTGCTCACAAGATGTATCATGAAAACGTTAATCGTTCATTTGTAAATAGACAGCGAAGTGGAATCTCCATTTGGACCGCTATTCACTCTGAAATGATTCCCAACCAACGCAGCCAGCTGATAAGATATCTGGCCACTCGCTGCCAGTAACGGTTGTCACAGTCCAGATGTAGATCGCATGTCGCGATCTATTTCCACGGCAAGGGCTTCGAACCGACCTCCAAAAGACTCATTCGCTGTTGTGACAAGTGTCACGCGCAAATAGATAGTGCTGCACGAAATGCTTCGGTTGGCATCCAAGCAGTCAGGATTCGAGACATAGTGCTTCCAACCCTACTTGAAGGGGGCAAACATGTAGTAAACTGGTTTTGGAGTGCAGTGTTTTTAACAGGCATCGGCCAGTAATACTTGTATCTCTGTTCAACATCTCTTCGTGCATTGTCCATCCGTTGGCCACCTACAAACCTAAATTCTATAGCCTCAGTTCATCATTTACCGGAAGTGCATGAGTACACGAAACATGCTCTGAAGCAAATCCAATCATGGTTCATAAAACATGATGCACAATAATACCGAGGATGAGCTGAAGGCAACTGTTGATGAAAAACATGGGGATATTTGGGACAAGTTCCATCACACTCCAGTAGCGGCTGAATGAAGGCTCCGATGGCTAGACCACGTTTTGTGCACACAAGCACACCGACTTCCGTGATGTGCGTTGTTTACGCGATCTGGATATGGATGAAGAATAAAAAGGGAGTCTAAGTGATAATTTGGTCAGGAGGTATAAAGTCCCTCAATTCGAAATTGGCGTGGGATGATGCCTCCCGATTTCTGGTCTGGAGTCCAAAGGACGATGAACACGTTTGGTTGGATACACTTGTTTACAAAGCGAAAAGTCGACCGCAGTGGCGTTTGTTTGTTGGTCTCTATGTTTCTGCCCTCCTGGTTATCTTCACAATTCCAACCACGTCCTCACACTTAATATGTACTATGCTATTATACATCATGTTAAGTTTTTGGTTTTTAGATCGTATTCTGTAATGTTTTGTACCTCTCTTACTGCGGCACACTAGCTGAAGCGTGCTTCTTACCCTCAGCTAATGTGCACTGTTGAAGAGGAGTGGCTGAATAAAGTCACTGCACGGTCATTTTGTGCCTGATCGAGAGCAAGTACTACTGGGAAAGGAGTCAATGCTAAAGCAGTAGTACGTGAACGGCGAGGTAACAAGTCAACAGAAGAGCAAACCGAGGTCCGAGCACAAAGAGAACATTAGGAGATCGTAGATGGATATGCGATATGAATAGATACTGTAGCAATGGTTGACAAGGCGTCGAACGAAATTAAGGCTGGCAGCTAAGTGGTATTGTTTGTGGTCAGGTCTAATGCATGTGCAAGATGCTCTCTGTCATGATAAACAACCCTGTCTGCACTTTATGGGTGCTTACTGCGTACTAGCACACCCAATTTCTGTAACCATAGGACTGTCAACGGTACAATACGCAGCAGAGTAATGGATTAATTTCAGATTTATCTGAGAAGCCAACAAGGTAGCTTCCCTTAAAGGTATCTGTCAGTTGGAGCTCAGAACAAGTCCATATATGAAGAGATGCCTCGAGAAATGTAGGTCGCTTGTGTTTTCGGTCAGTCATTAAGTAAGTAACTAGTCCCATAGCATGCTAGAGGCACAGTTTACCTCCTATAGACTGCCACGTGTTTAGTCAGGTTTTGATTGTTGTCATGAATGTTCCAAGTTTATTAGTAACTGGGACTGATTTTTTCGCCTATACTGTGCGTTACACTTGCCAGTATACAGCCAAACATGAAGGGCATAACTCAATAAATAACAAGCACTGGTGCTAGCATCATAACTCGTGAGTCACAGGCTCTCACCATGGCCGAAACCAGTGCAGCGTATTTTGTTGTTATCGACTCCCTTTGTAACGCTGATTCTCCACCGACTATCGAATACTATACACAAAGGCCTCGTCACAAGGGTCATTTGACAAGCAATGGCTCGCAACCTCGATGGATGTGTTATAGTGAGTTCAAAAGTTGTGGATAGATGAGGACGCAACGTTCCGGTGTTGCCATTATGTAGAGCCAAGAAGAATAAGAAGATCGTTAGCAATTTTCTGTATCGGCTGATGACGCCGCATCAGAAACGTGATTGTCAGCATCTTGATCAGTCATCCATCCAACCAACTGTTAATGCGGAAGAATGCAGAGACAAGAAAGCGCCATCTTTATTGGACGTTGCAACCGCTGACCAGGGTCTCATGCATGCGCATTTATGTTTGTGTCCAGTTTCTGTCCCACGACGCGTCGCACATAGGAAGTGACTGCTTGTCACTTTCTTGCTTCGATTTCTCCCAACTTGGTGGATATCTCCTGCCGTTTTGAACCCTTACTTTTGCTTCCGTAACTAGCATTCTGATCAGTCTGGAAGTGTTACTAGACTGTTGATCTATTTGACAAAGGTTGCATTATCCTGTTTGGAGTTACTGCTGAAGGCACCAAAAAGAGCTGATCAGTCCGATGTATAGGTCTTTCAACCACTTCCCTCACTGTTCACCTAGTCTCAGGCCGGTACCGCTGGTTGCTTTCCATCCGCTCTCAGTTCGTTTCTTGCCGTTCGCATTGAACCGTCCGATCTCGCTGGTTGTGCCTGTGCGTGCTCTTTTTCCCTCTCTCGTTTGATGGCTTCTTCCTCCTCCGTGTAATCGTTGCCATCCGCCCCCCCTACATTAGGACTGGCGTGACGGAGGATCACTACAGACTTCACCCCTACCTTCACTATTAATGTGGTGCCTGCGCCAAATATAGGGGCAGCGGCTTGAACGAACCAAGCCTTTGTAGTCACAATCCGTCTATTTTATCAAACCACACTAGTCCGAGAGGCGTTGTGAATATCTTACGTTAGATTCGTATTCTCTGCCAAGTATATTCGGTTACTGAATGGTTGTAACGTGGCATGTGATATGCTACGTAGTGTGCACAATACTCGATTGGCCTCAGTTTTTCTACGGCTTAAACCAAACCCAGTTCCTTGCCGACGCGGTTCACTTGAAGCATCTTACTGTCCCACTGATTTGTGCATTTGATACAGATGAGATTCGCATTGATTGGGGTCTGTTGAGCATCCTTTGTTGCGGAACCAGAAGGATGATAGTTGAAAAGGTAACCAACATTTTATTCACAGGCGGCTGCGCATTGTCTGTAGCAAAGGAGAATGGGCTGCACAGCATGAAAGTAGCGTTCGCTTCGACTGCCGTCTCTGGTTCGAACTACCCAAAAATACGAATGGGATTATGAGGTAAACGGACTACATAAGGGTACGAGTCAATGGACGCCTGGCGACTATATATTTGTGAGGATATGACACAAGGCAACTATAACGTTTGCAGTTCTGGGTGTGGGCGAAAAGCTGCCAGGTACACAGTTTTGTGTCAGCAACCAGTCGCTTTTGGTTAAACTTGAATACGAAATGAGGGTTGACCGTCGTCCGAACATTTAGGCCACAATTACGATATACAAAATAAACAGGAGAGACGTCCATCATTTCGCCAACCATGTAGGTGACTCGTTCCTTGCATTCCTTGTCGGGACAGCGCATCGCATCCTGAGACAGAGCTATGAAACGGCATGCAAGAAATACACTAAGTACTGAGTTTGGAAAACTGTTGAATCATGGAACGAATCACAAACAACCCCTGCCCTACGTATATCTGGTACACCGATCTTAAGCCTTACTTAAGGAATAAGTATGCTGACGGAGTACCCACTGGGTTTGCACCGAACATGTGTGTGTGTATATGTGCGTACGGTACAAACCGAGCCTTGCATGATCGTTCTGGAAATACAGTCTTTCCAGTGTCACATTGATATCAGTGATGCGCATGTAACCAGTTGACTGCACACGCCAAGTGCCAAGTGCTCAAAACCTTCAGGAACGAGGTGGCACTTTCAGCTTGAGATGCTATCGCGAGGTTTCCGAAGATGTCCGGAATATTAGGACTTCGGCTAATCGATCATTGAAATTAGCACAAGAGAGTGTTTACTCTCGCTTACTCGCTTCGCAAAGGCCCATCCTTCTGGGAGCAAATCCCACGACAGTGGGTTTCGACGAGGGAATAAGGGATTGTTTTCACATATGACCCCGTCACGTCGCATGTAATATAGAGTTGCTAAAAGTACAAAGGTGAGTGGGGTACGTACTTCTCGCAAGGATTTATAGTGGTACCTTCGTCTTGCGGAACCTCTCACTGTGCTCCTTCTGCTACGGGCTTCTTTGTTTTGTTGAGTTATAAGCCTGTAAAAATATGAACGTTAGCATGAGCGATACTATCTGAACGGATGCAATATTAAAAGGTCATACGAGGATATTAAATATTTGACGTTCAGAAGAAAAATCATGTGAAACCCGCGTTGATGCAATGTTCGAAATGTGGCTACCGGAGTGTCATGCCCATATGCCAGCGATCTTATGAACTGTCTCTCTGAGCGGAAGCTGTTCAGAATCCTCGCAGTCGCAGTTAGTCCTATCCAATGTGTCAGCTATTACCAGTCATTAGACGAAGCCTGTGCGACCAGTTCCGCTGCATGCCACTCACACTTATACCAATGGGAACTTTTGCAACTACACTTCAGTCCTACAGTCAGCCCCTGTAGTAATACGTTACGTCATGCTCTGGCGCACAGGAACTAAACACACTAGATGCACGAACCCTACGAGGTAAAAAGCGTAGACACCTTCGAAATAGCGTCATTTTTCCAAATTCCCACTTCAATAAAGCGCTAGATAGCTGGAATACATTGATCAAGTTGTCTTGAAGTGCAGTGTCATGGCAGATTTGGAATCTCTGGCTTTCGTCAATTTTATGCTTCTTTGTGTATTTCCTTACATTACTTGGAATCTGTGGCAAGGTACCTTTCCATCGCTAGCTATTGCGTTGCCACGGAGTGTCCTTAATCAGAGATATTGTGGTTGCTCTGGCATGATTAGGTGCTAGACGACATTTCGCTGGTGCCTGACCAGTTAGGTTCTATAATGAGTTCATACGTATTTCGGATTTTGCTTTGGCAAATGTGATTGGGGTGAGTATAAAGATCGGTAGGTTTGGGCGTCATAATATTCCTGCTCGACTGGGATAATTTCTTCGGTTCAATACGATAACGTCTGCTAAAATGATAACGATGAATCCGCGTTGTAATGGAAAACTTTGTTAAACTTGTTATGGAAAGTTCTGAAGGCGAAGCTGCGACCATTTCACAACAATTCAACTTGTTTGTATTGTGGGGGATAGAGCCAGTGGAAAAGACGATAAGTACAGGAGATCATAACAGTGTGGGTCAATAAACCAAACATCCGCTTACCCTTGTAAGTCATTTACCGTTATTTGCATCGTAATACCGAGCATTCTAACCAAATCGTCCAGTCTTTTCATCCCCCTGGGAGCGACCAATATCTGTATGGTATTCTCCTTGCCTCGTTCTGCTTTCCACAAATCAAACACCTCCTTCACAGAAAGTAAAATGGAGGTCGACAAAATCTCTCTCTGACAAAAATGATCACGAATTATTTAAGATTGTCACTCATTTCAGTAATCAGGACAAAAATTATAATGTATGATTCCAACATAAGTGAAGTGTTCAATAATTTCGAGTCTGACTATGAAACATCATGATAACAGTTACCTAAATGTGACGGATAATTGTCCAATCCACCAACTGTGCCAAGTTTGTGATTATGTCTGCTCACACGTAGCTTTTACGCTATTAATTTCATGGGTACCCCAAGGAGTCTGAAGAAAATCAGTGATTGTAGTACAGAGCAGTAAAACTATTTTTACTCCTAGAGAACAATTAGCCGCAGGAAATGCATGGACTTATCGATGAATTTATTTCAGGACCAGTTCATTACCTATGCAACAGTTAAACGATGGGCTGCCGAATGTCGTCAAGGAAAGGCATCGCTCCAATTTCAGCGACAGCCCGGAAGAACTGTATAGAAGCAAGCTCTGTAGCAAACGTTGCTGCTGTGGAGAACATGATAGTAAAGGATCGAAGAATGACTGTGTGTGAAACAGCCCATACAACTAGGAGCGATTTAACAATTGTCAAATAAATTATTCATGCAATGTTGAATACGTCAAAAATGTGTGAACGTTGGGTGCCAAGAATGTGGATTCTTAAAACGAAGGAAAACCATATCCGAAGTTTGGATAAAAATATCTCATGCTCTCGCGCAAAGACTGGGACCAATCTAAGCGGCAACTAATAACAGAGGCTAGACTTGGATCTACCATAACGATCCTGAAACAAAAGAACTATCCAAGCAATACAACCACCAAAATTTTGCTTTGTCCAAAAAAGGCAAAGTTTTGCCCATTGCTGTCATGCTGCCATGCACAATTGTCATGATGCTGATGGTATGCTTCTGTTTGACTGTATGCCACACGAGATGACCAATAATGGTGCCTTTTACGCTGATTTGATTTGGCGATTGAGTTCGCATTAGAGAAAAACGTAGAAGAGTGTTGACATCCAGTGTTCAGATTCTGCACGACAGTGCACCAACTCACGCAGGTAAGGTATCAAAAGCTGCTCTCCGTGAATGTGGTATCAGGAACTCCGGCATCGAGCTTATTCCCCTGACCTGCCCCCATAAGGCATTCACCCATTTCCAAAATTGAAGTGACCATTTAAAAACAAACAGGTTGCTTCAGACGAAGAACTGAGGGGGTCCTAAAATCTGGTTGACGGGACAAGACAGACACTTTTATTTAAGTGGTATTGGACAGTTACGACACGGGCACATAAAAAACATCTAACTTCAGGTTGATTATGTAGAAAAATAAAACAGTTGGTATAATGACTCGTGCTTGAAAAGTATTTCAGGCTCAAAACTTATGGAGCACCCCTCTTACGTTGTTCTATACTTCTACACTAAAAATTTGCAACTTACTTTTCCCGGACTGAGGGGGTTGATACACGAAATTCCCCTGAGGTTACATGAGCCACATCTATCTAGCGAAGACTGCCTCACAGAATTGGGCCACAGGCTGGGTGTTCGAGTATCATGTGACCTATGCTTAACGCATCAGGAAATCAGTTCATGCCTTACTTCGGTATAATAAATTTTAATAATAAAGGCGCTGTCTAACATAAATGGGCCATCGTAGTGCTGACTGTCAATTCAACCCTCTCTCTGCTCCGTATGAGAACAACTTGAGGACCAGAAGAACTTGTCGCTGCTTCAGATCTGCATTCGAACATAATCGGCTTAATTTCAACATCTAGTTTCCTTTACCAACAAATATTTTTGCGTTTGATTTAACCAATAGTTAATCTCGTTGACACTTGTGGTTTATATTGCTGTCACTTTGATCCCTCGTCGCGCTGTATGTAAGACCGCTACATGTAATTGTCTTCGCCCTCACTGATTCATGAACGATTACCGGATCTCCACACGACACCAGCTCATAGTCTACCGTCCATCGGAGGTTCCATTGTTATACGTCAAAGTAGGCTACTTAAATGTCTTAATATTTTGATCTCATAACTAAAGGTCTGTAACGTTTCACACTGTTTACACTACATGATCTGCTAGATCGTCGTCCACAAGTGCATATCCGATTAAAAATAAGTAATTACCGAGCATTAATGCCCCGATCAGAGCGTTCCGCTCTGACAACAACTTGTTACAAAGTTGTTCGTTTTACCTGTACACAAACAAAAATCTCTAGACTGTTGGATAATCCAAAATAGAATAAAAACGATTTGTGGGGACTTAAAGTACAATCATGCGCTAATACACCTTCACAGTTGCGCACACGGTGCAAGGCCGAACTGTGCGCAGGAATTGATAGACGATTCACCGTGTCACGCTTCGTCGGTAGGACGGAGGTAGTTCCGTTTTTTGCGAAGTGCTAACTCCTGTCAATCGATAATCCATGCAAACCCTCTCTCTGGCAGCAGCCAGAACTAAGGCAAAGCGAGGTTTTGGTTTCGACACTCACTTCGTCGCTGGAAATGAGCTTGAAAATCGCGTCAGTTGCATTTTGATTTTTTGTTCGTAGTGTAACGAGCTGGTGGCTGAAAGAAAAATTCGAGAACACTGAATATTACTACAACGCGGTGTATAGTAGTCTTGAGCTTCTTTTACCATAAGCAAATAACGTGTGACCCCAGATATGTCGGGCATATCACTGTGATGTAGTTGTAGAGGACGCTAGGGGTTCAAATGAAATGACCACAACTGAAGTCCAACAGACAGCCACTGACATCAATGAGATCACCTGCCGCTGGCTTCATTCCCTCAGGAATTATCAGGTGAACTAGCGCTGTTCTCCGAAACTGACGACTTAATAATCATTTCTGCACAGGTTAGACTACAACCTCGAGCACCAAACTCAGTTAAAAGGATATACGTTGTTGGCAAGTATTGCTAGGTCAAAAACAATTTAGCATATGTTGCAGGTTAAAAGGCAATTGCTTAAGTTCTGTAGGTGAGCAGAGTGAAACCGGAAAGTATATTTGCCGAAAATTTAATGTGTACTAGGAGACCTTCTAAAGGTTTCACATGTGCATACCATGTAGTTGCGTCGTTGTAAGGTCCAATTTTGGTTCATTACTGACGAGTAGTATGGAGCAAAAGAAAATGCATGATAGAGTCAGGGAACTGTGTATCTATACGGATACAGGGAATAGAGTGAACGTCAGACAACCACTGATGCGTAGTGGATGAAGGCGCACAGGAGAACAGATGAACAGATTGGTTTCATCGATGTAATATGAAAGCAAGTACGGCAGTGAACGACCCGATTACAAGGTTTGGTTCTCCAAATGATAAGGCGAGCCAGATCTAGGCAGTGCAGGTGGAGTGCTGCACCATCAAGTACAGGTTTCAATTAGGATGATGTGGCAGCGGAACCAAAGGAGTACGAAACGGTGACCCTCGATTGGCTCACGCAGAGAGAGAAACGTCTAGTCTTCTACACTGCGTGGTTAACTTTGCAATGATGTGCTCCCGCTGAAGTGTCATGTCTTAGTTGAAATAGCTTTTAGCAGAGCTCGCTGTTTTTTGAAGTTTCCATAAACCATAAGGGCATCGGTCAGTAAAAGGCGATATCCTTAGCTGAAACCTCTAGTGAATTCACCCATAGTTGGTTAAGGAGCTGGAACAAGCCCATGAGATCCACAGCCATCCTTCGTTATGCAACCTCAGAAACAGAGAGACAACACTTTTACCACACACATGGTAGACCAGTTTGGCCTATTTCACACGAGGTCTCACATAAGCTTTAAGGGCTTGAAATAACATCAAAGTGGAAACTGCCCACTGTATGAAATGTAAACAGGGGCCCAATTTTTTATCTACTTTTCCAGTCTCCCTTGAAGAATCGGGATTTGACCGCATTATCACTCCAAGATCGTTGCAAATGAAACGATCTTCGTAGCTGCTGTAATGTTGTAGATTCAATAGCGTGCATTTGGCAGCAGCGTTTGGTTGTAAGGTTCCAGAAGGTAGTCTTGATAACCAACAGCAGTTTGATATTACCAGTAAGGAGTAGAAAGTGAGATCGCTGTTCTCGAGATTCCTAATGAACACATGGAATGTCCGTGGTCCAAGTGTCGAGCCTTGCGAGACGCCACAATACATCTTAATCAGGTCGGTCAGAGCAGCAAGATCTAACATATATAGGCGATCCACAAGTAAGATGGCACGTATCCGACCCAGGATGCGATAGCAGAGATCATAAAGCTGAATCTTGTGGAGAAAAATGTAATGATCCTTCTAAATAAAAACATCGACAAAGCAGAATAAGCAACACCGAAGGTATTCCTCTCAATCATTTATTTCGTTCAACTTGCGCCGTTTCACAGTGTAGGAACAGTTTTGACAAAAACCGTGCTGCTCCGGTAAAACATCTTTGCATCTATCCAAATACCACACTTGTGCTCCAGCAATAATAATGCCCATGAACATAAAAAACAACAGAAGTGAGTTACGGGCGGTGGTTTTAAGTTCAGGACTGTTGCCTTTCATGTACTGAGGAAGGGTTAAAATCCGGATAACCATCCGATCAAGCTCATGATATTTCTAAAAAGTGACTTGGGAAGTAGGTGGTTTGCACCGGGCGAAATTAGTTTATGCAATGGCCAAGTCATCCCAATACAGCTACGGCCATGAATAATATATGACTAGGACTTCTTGGTGGGTCGTTTTGTGTGAGGATGGTCGGAAATGGCTGTGGGCTGTAAAACAAAAGGAACAAGTCGTTGTCGATGAGTGTGGGTCGTTCCTTATGCGGAGCTTACATCAAGAATAGCCCACAACAGTTGTGATGTTTGCTGACATGTTTGTGAAGTGCGTTGGGGTCGGCTCAAAACTTGGCTAAATCCTGTTAGTGCAGCAATTAATCATCGCGAATCAGCCTGATGCAACTGTTTCGTTCTTGTAGGTAAGCTCTGCACTTCGATTGTTTCATGAACTTGCCTAGATGAGTCCCTCAAG